CCCTGTGGCGGCTGCTGTGGTGGCTGCGGCCCGTGCTGCTAAAAACGAACCATCTTCAGAACGAAATCTAGGTGAAACATCAATGTGTGTATAAATAAATAGCTAAATTCAAATGTGCTTGGAATGTTTTTGTATGGGGTGGTAAGGTGAAAAGGATCGGCTTGGATCTTTCCATACACAATACTTTTTGTCAACGTTTTTTTAAATAACTTTGATTCTCGAAATTGTTATTGTAGTGCAGTGCTAGGAATTGTTGATCCATGCAAGGTATTATGAAAATTTTATCTCGCAAGTGGCTTTATGATTTGAAGGTCTAGCTCCGCTTTTGAGAACTAAATGAATTTAGCGGTATAAAAATCTATGTATACAACATTCTTGATTATTAAATACAAAATTAACTAAATATCTCCGCTGTTAATTGAATTACTCTTGATTTTTCGCCCCAGAATATCTATTTACTTTAATCAATTTTTAAATTACAAACGAAACGAACATGAAAATGGTTTTCATCACTTTTGCTGTGCAGTGCCTGAATTTCGTTCTGAAGACGCATTCTAACAAGGGCCACACGGTCCACAGCAGGGGCCGCAGCCACCGCAGCAGGGTCCACAAGCGCCACAACATGGACCCGAGCCGCAGCAAGGACCACAGCCGCCACAGCAGAGACGCGGTGGGTAACAGCAGGGCGAAGCACCGCCACCGCAGCAAGGGTAGAGTTTGCGGCACATACTGGAAGTGTCAAAGGGTTGGGAGAGGGGGATATATGTTAAAATCAGAGTATATTCCAAGACTCACTTGTCAGAAATTCTCTTCACGGAAATAGGAAGTAGTTGGGAGTTGAGCGATGATCCTCGATAAAACAGAAAATTTTCAGCGAGCTAATCTGTTGCTCTCCGATCCAAAGCTGGTGTTATTTGTTCACAGAAACAACTGAAACCTATTTTAGACATATGAAATAATGTTTATAAAATGGATTATCTATTTATTTATTTGTATTTTATATTCACACTTACATTCCCAAAAACCTTACACAATTTTACAAAAGCAATGTCGAATATATTTCAACAGGACAAGGCTCTAAAATGGAATGAGGCCTATTCGTAAATCGACCAAGGCAATAGCAGTTCAAACTGCCAGAGCCTACTAGGCTCAATGTAGAAGCCCGTTAGTGTCCGTACGGACGTGAATTGTGCTTCCCAGACAAACTTATACGTTTATAGCTTTCTCCGGCTATAACCAGGCGTCGGTATAACCGGATTCTACCGTATTTATATCATCTGACTGGGGGCAGCCTTCAAATGAGCAGGGATAGTAGAGCTTAGCTTTGATGTCGGTATTGCCAACCAAGAAAAAAGTGTACCACAGGCACAAGAATCTAAATGCAGAATTTCGCGACTCTAACTCTCTCTAAGATACAAGAAATATAATTTTATAGCCCAAATATGGATAAGGTTTTTAAAAGATCAAATGAGAACAAGAATAGTTAAAAATTCTAGTTACGAACTCGATTTGAGCGCTGATACATATGGACGTACGGACAGAAGAACATGGGTATATCGATAAATCGAGCTGAGGATCATAATCTTTCTGGGATCTGCCACGGTCTTGATCGGGGCGACGAGTTAAGTCGAGATCTCGTGAACCATAAAAGCTAGAGATTTGAAATATTCCACGTATGCTCGTACTTCGCGCAGTACGAATTTATTATATATTTCGATAGCTCATCATGTGTCGTCTTCTCTGATTTCCATCGATAGGCCCTATAAACTAAACCAAGTCGTGGCAGAGCCGTTCAAAATATAAACATCTAAACAGGCTTTTCAAATCCACTCTCCCCCATTTTGCCCGGCCTATAAGCATCAACTCAACTAATACTCATTCAAACTTTTCGGCTCGTCCCGTATACTTCTATATATTTTATGTGTGCTTACTTATTTTTTGGGAAATGTAAGTAAAATTATAAAAAAAAAATAAGTGTTAAACAAATACAATAAATATTTTTCCATCTATCCTCAGGTTGAAGTCCTTCCTGTAACAATTATATTTAAATATATATATCGAGTGTGCTGGCTTTTGGATATTTTCAACCACATCGAAATTTTCTGAGAGCTACACTGAGATTATTATTGGATATAATTATTGTAGTACCTTTTTCCGTGAAGAACCCAAGAATAATGTAGGTTCGGTATGTTAAATATCTGAGGATATCTGATATCTAATCGTTTGTCTACCATCCAGCAGCACCTAGCAAAATGTGTTGCGGACCTTGCTACTCCTGTTGTGGACCTTGCGGTGGCTGCTGCGGACCCTGCGCTGGCTGCTGTGGACCCTGTGGCGGATGTTGCTATCGCTATTCCTGCTGTGGACCCTGTTTTGGACGCTGCTGTGGCGGCTGTGGACCCTGTTGCTAACTACTCTGCTCTTCAGAAGGAAATCTAGGTACTATCAAACCATAAGTGCACGATAGAAATGTCACCATACCTTACATACATGTCGAAATTTGTATGTTTCATTAAATAAATGAGAAAGTAAAACAAAAAATTGTGAGAGAAGAGAAGAGGGTAGAGGCAAATGCAGTTCGAGAGGCTGTGGTAGAGGTAGATCTAGTGAGGTGGTACCCGTCATGTGCATAAGGTATGGGCACTCACAATTTATAGATCCCTCTACACGTACACACGATCCTCATGTACATAAATATGTATAAATATGCGGCATAGTGTTGTTTTTGCGTAACAAAATATTAAAACAAGTCGCCATCTTTAGTTCATTGTATGTTGGTTGTTGTCTTAGCTTGCGCGGTGAACTTCAAATATTTTTGTCGGTAGGTGGCGAAGAAATTTGAGTTTGGAAACACTAGACAAAATGCACAAAAAGATAATAATTCGCATTTATTTACAAAATTTAGGCGTCACAATTCGTTCATATACATAAATGCGCAAAAGCGCACCAAAACTAATTTTTTTAAAAACAATTTATGAGCAACAGTGCCACACGAGTATTGACAGATCGTTAACATAACATTTGAAATATATGTTTAACAGCATGATATCATAAGTAAATTTCAACCGAGTATACAACATAAATAGGGGACAATTTGCTTCGCTTATTAAAGCTCATAAATAAGGAATGTATTTAAAGTCTCATCATCATTCGTTTTTCGTGAAATGCGCTCGTCGATAACATATAGTTAAATTTAACAGCGCTGTTTTTTGGGAACTCAGAACAGCCTCTTTTGAGTTTAACAGTGTGTCATTCTATGAGTGATGGAATTAACATAATATGTTAACATTAACAATCTTACAAGCGGACGGTGAGGTCGCGTTTTGGGTGCGTTTCGTTTTGCATAATATTAATGTGGATTTGTGCTTCACAGTTTATAATAATAACCGTAAATACGCTGAAGAGAAAAACGGTAATTGTGTTTGCTATAATTGAATTACTTCCAAATCGTGCGATGTTTGCTATATTTTGCGTTTCGTTCGTGGGTGGCAATTTGTGTGCCTTGAAAATAGAATTCTGTCGTTGCTGCTGTTGAAAAAACATAATGAAACGCGTTTCATGCAAACCTGCTAAAGCACAGTTACAATGTATAAATTTAAGCAAAACGACGCGACAACAAAACCAACTGCGCTCTGACGAAGAAGAAGCAGCAGGCAGGCAGACGCAGCATCGTGTGTACATGTGTTTGTGTCTGTGTGTGTGTTAGTGCCTTTTATGCATGCTCGCTTGTATGTGTGCGTGTGCTTGTGCGATGCGCCTTTTCACCACAAAAATGTTAATAAAAGTGCTGAAATTTTAAAGAGAAAATGTTTACAATGAAATGTTTGCCAAATATGAGCTAAAAGCAAATAAGTGTTTAAAAAAAAAAAAAAGTTAGCAGCGTTAAGCGTCCATTATTATTTAGAGAACAATGAAAAGCTAAAGCAACAACAATAACTGCAACTACATTAACAGTGCTAAATACGACGCCCTGTCGCTATTTGTCTCTGTATTGGTGAGAGCGACGGCGCTGTCGATTTTCGATTTCTGTTTTTTGGGCGCTCATTGAGAGAAAAATTTGCCACTGCCGCCGTCGCTAATGCTGCTGTAACTGTTGTTATTGTTGTTGCTTCTTATCTCATTGCGCTTAACATATATAAAAGTTTCGTTAGATAGTGTTTGCGCGCGTGTTTTAATATATAAAAAAAATATTCTCTGCCAACAGCTGCTCGTGACGTCGACAACAGAATCCCCAATCTAAATTGTGAAAAGAAAGAGGTTGCAATTTAAGCATTTTACGAGGTATGTTTCATACGTTTTCGCATTTCTAGTATCTAAGTATGTGCGTAAATTTGCATTGTCTCGTTGTCATCGATAATCGATAGGTTTTGCATTTTACATTTATGCCAAACTAGCTTAACAGCTGCTGAAAACAGCTGTTCTAGATTTTTATCTGCAGGTGTGTGAGAAAATTGAAGATTTTTTTTTACTTTTTATGGATTGGCGGTTGAACTTTCTTGGCCAACAGCTGATTAGTTAATTGTGTAAATGTAACAAGTGTTGATGTCTACAGAATTATAATATAACATAGTAAGAATGAAGACTGTGGGATTAAAATTACAATTTTCCCTTAGTTCAATTCCAATAATCCAATATTTCACTGCACAAATAAATATTTTATCTTATTATGTGGATAAGGTATTTTTTTCGTCAAATATGTATACCATGTATAGGCCTAAATTAGGTGTTATAGGTACATAACAGATATTAAGCCAGTTGGGCATTATTTTTATCAATACTTCCCTGAGGCTTCCCTGATGTTCAACTATTTGTTTCAGCCCTTCCTAAAGAGCTCTATGTAAATGTATCTGAATGTGTGTATACATATGTAAATGTATCTGTATTCATGTCAGCATATGTTAATGGATCTGTATTAGACATGTAAATGTATCTGAGCATATCTTAAAATGTTTTTACATATGTAATTGTATCTCTTATGTGTATTCATGTCAGCACATATCAATTTATCTGAACTTACATATATGCATTTGTATATGTAGATGTATCCGCATATGTATCTGCATCTGTATTTATATAAATACCAACAAGTATCTGAATGGAAATCTGACAATCTATTGGTATATATGTATATATATATCTGTATTTATATACTTTTACATATATATATGCGCATCTGAATCTTCCAATTTCTGCGCAATTCAAGTTCAAAGTATTTCGTAAAATCCGCTGACAGCAGCTTTCAGCAGTCGATCTTTTATTTATGAATCTCACGCAAAAATTGAAGAGAATTTCGGACTATAGAATTATAACATAAACAGATGCGAATATACTATTATTTATATAGCTATAGATCTACAATACAATCTATTCAGAGGTAGCGAAATTTGTTTCAGCTTTTGCTTTCTATTTCGTTATTGCTGAAACTACAAATAAAACTGAAAGGAAAAATTTGCAATTTGCTTTCGATTTGTTATTGTTTCTTCGTAGCATCTATATAAACAAAACAAATTTTGAAGTGCGAGCTATTTGCGTGGGCTACTGCGAATTGTATAAATAATTTGGGATTTATGATAATTGCTCTCGGATAGAATGAACGAAAGGTCTTTAAATTCGAGAGCCACAGCAAGCTATAAAACGTAAGCTAAATATATATTTAATGCAGAAAATAGTAGAAATATTAATACAAAATATTAATTTAATATAAAAAGCTAACTAAATATTCAAAATATTTTTATTAATAATAAGTTGTAATATATAATAAGTAGTTTTCGCTGAAGGGTATTTACCACTCTGACATTTTTGGTTTACTCGTTCTCATCTTTTATTATTATAATTTTTGTTTTCTCTTTGCTTCCCTGAAATCTTGTTGAACTCGTTTTGCAAGTTCACTGTACCCTATTCTACTCTCTTTCTATCCCTCTCTCCGCCTCTATTACTCCCGCTTCGTAGTTCTTGCTCTCAACTATTTTTGTATTTTGTGCACATTTGCGGCACTGAGAATTGGGCCTAGGTAAATCTCAGCCCTCAGCTCCGTTCAACCCTAGACAGCATAGAGCTTTTATAGCTGTATCTGTATCTGTTGCTAGTTGCATGAATGTATCTGTAAATGTATCTGCGACTGCAATTAGGCAATTAAATTGCGCAAGCTGCCGGCCAGGCCCACAAATTGATCTCTTCCGGCAGGCGAACTAAAGCTCTACGTAAAGGTACAAAGGTAAAAATCTAACACACAAAGGCCAATCCATTTAGCAGGTGTTCTAAACGAACTTTGCCTTCTTTTCACATTCCGTCAGGATCTAAACGCTTACCTAACTCGTTACATATATGTATACTGTATATGTATATAATATAAAATATAAAATTGTGTCGCATTTAAACTCATTCGCTGATTTGATTTGATTGTCGCCCGCACTTGGCGACAGTTTTAAATTGAAAAATATATTTAGTTAAACTTAAACGTATGCATGCATATGTACATATTTATATATATATATATGTACATATATCAGTTATATCACTATATTGAATGCTCATTTCAAGCTCAGCTGCGCTGCCTGCAGTCACAATTCTGCTCTGTGGGCGGCTCTCTCTTTTTTTCTGATTATTTGTGATATTTTTCTTAGACCTTTTTCGTTTTATGTGAGGATAAACTGTATTGCAGACCAGACATAATAAAAAAATATATTAGGCTGAAAATTAAGCTAAGCGTGTGTACGTATATTATGTACTTACATTAGGAATACGCTTCGATAGCGAATGGGAGTAAGATGTTTGTAGGAAATACATCTTTTTTTTTTCCAATAAATCAGTATATCGAAATAGAAATTGTAATGTTTAATGGTTTTTACTTTTCTTTAATAAACAAATTTATGTTTTATATAGTTTATTAGTAGTATTAGTAAAATAATTTAATGCTGAAATTCTTCAATATTTGTAAATAAAAATAAAGAAAAGTATATATATTTTTTAATAATAATTGTACTATATATAAAATAAATAAAAAAAATATTTAATTGCTGTTACTTTAATTATACAATGTTTTTTTTTTTTTTTTTTTTTTTTAATAATAATTTCATTATTTGTATCTCAGCAATTATTTATTTTTATAAAATACGTATTGAACTTAACAAAGCTTAAAAAAAAAAAACTATATTTAAATTGCTTTTAGTTTTATATCGTTTTCTGTTGTTTTTATTTAGCTTATCGCTCTTCCTTATTTACCTTTTCGTTGAAAATCTAAAATTCCAATTAGTTTTTTTTTGTCTAGTTAGGTTTTTGGGTGCTCGCGCACCCCGAAAAGTCCGAGAAAAAAACCGGTTTACGCTTAGCTTTGCTCTATTTAGGTTGAGGGTTTTTCAAACACATTTATTAGCTTTGTTAATTTTGCCGTCTATTTTTTATTTATTTATACATATTTTTATTAGCAACTTTAGCTAATTTGCATGCGAAACAGATTTGTTGTTAGTCGAAAAAGATTTACAAAGCAACTATAATTTGTTGGTTTTGGTTTGATTTTTTATTACCCAAGGTCGTCTTTGGGACGCATGGGTTATCAGCTGGGCGGCGGGTCTTATCGCTATAGGTACGCCCCTATCTACATACATACATACATTATATTTAGCGAGGAAATAAATTTGTAATTGTTCTGCTTCTTTAATGTTTTTTTTTTTTCTACGCTTATTTGACGAGCAAACAAATTTTGGTCTTATCGAACGTGTGCGGTCTTATCTTTTGTCTTTATCGAGGAAGTGCAATAAATTTAACGATCTAATTGCGTTGAGGGCAATTTTTATTGCATTTGTTCGATTTCAAGTTCTTTCTTATCTCTTGGCATAATATTGTGAAAAAGTCTTGAATGTGATTCTTGGAAATAATAATATGCTTAAATCTTTTTTCATTTAGCGGGAAGTTTTTAGATAAGGTATTTTTAGCTTAGAGCTTCGAGTATTAAAGGGGATATTTATATGTCTTTAAAGAGAACTGTTTGTTTATATGATAAGACTAAGATTTCAGTTCATAAATCAAAAATAGACAGCAGAAGATTTGAATATAAATTCAATAAATTGATAAGAGGGCTCTTTAAATGGAACAATAAAAGAAAGAAAGGATATCATAAGGTGGGTGGATCTTAAAATAAATCTACTTGAGTACATTTTATATGATGTTAATAAAAAAGAAAATGAATTGTGCTTGTTCTCTTAATATGACCACATATCATTATAAGACAGTTATAAAAGGGTATATATGAATGTATGTACGTACATACATATGTATATCTGAAGGGAGAGAAACTCCCTCAAGCATGCACACACACATACACATACATGCACAAGCATAGCGTAGCGTAACGCATATACCAACAAGCCAAAGAATTCGCTTTACGATTTTTTTTTTATCAGCAAGAGGCTAAAAATAAATAAAGCAACAACAACAAAGTTGTCAGCAAGCGAAAAAAACTGAATGAAAAGCTGACAACGTAAATGGAATGGGCGCAACGTAAGAGAAAGGAACAGAGCGAGAGCTCGAGAGAGAGGACACATAGCGAAGGCGGCTGTCAAGTCAAACGACGCGCTGGGCTGGAGAGAGGGAGTGTGAGAGAGAGAGAGAGAGAAAGAGAGAGAGAGATTGAGCGAGCCCGCCGACCACAGTGTGTAGAGAGTAAAGTGTGGTGTGGAGAGTGTTGGTGCCCACGCCTTGTAGAGCTGTGCAAACGCTTTCAACTGAGCGCCGTCTCACTTCCCTTCCCCTTAAAAGTTCAGCGCCCCTTAGAAGGGAGTGGGCGGCGTTTGCATGATGTAAATTTTAAGGCGCATTACGGAAAACAAAATTTTTTGTTGTTTTGAAAAGCAAGTTGACCCACAAAGCAGGCGCAATTGATTTTTCTAGCTCTTGGCCCTCAGCCCACACACATGTGACGCGTGCCTCGCGTAGAAGAGGCAGAGCCTCGCATTGCACCTGTCCAGCTGGGGTGGGAGGTGACAAGCGAAGCATGACCCCCACCCCGCCCTCCGCTCCGGCGCAGCTACCAATTCAATATGGAAAGCGAGACATGACTCTAGTTCCGAGAAAATTACAGTGGACGCATGCATGGCACGCGACCAAAACAAACAAATTTGTGTGTTTCTATACCCTGTATTTGAGTGGAATATGTTGAGAGGGTACTTGCTATATGGAACATTAGTAGATCATTTCAGCATACATATATATAGATCCATAACTAAGTAAAGCTCAAATT